GCGTAAACATGTTCTTATTAAAAAACAAAAACAGCGCCGTTTTCATTCGAATTTACGTCCCCTCTGACAGTCTAAGGGTTTTAATTAGCCTAAAACGTTAAAAGTAACACCTGTATTTTGTTCTTCCAAAATTAGAAGTAGATCATGGTCTCGAAGACTATGCAGGATCAACGACATAGGTTTGGTAACGCTTCCTTCAGTTACTTATTCTCGCCACTGTATTCCGCGATTCAGGCGAAAATTTTAAGCTGTTTTCCACTTACAGGCAATGTTTGCGAGCTATGTGCCTGAGATAGCGGATCTAATTGGATCGAGACAAAAATACGGAGGTGAATACAAAGGCGAACATGGCAAAAAGTCAGATACAGTGCCTCTTCGCTAGTTCGCAGTTGCTTCATTGAATGGATGAATAAAAAAATAATTGGCATTTAATTTTAATAATTGGCATTTAATTTTAATTAAAAACGTTCCTCATTTTTTACGGGATCTTGATACATCGCTACTTTAAGATATGCATGGTCCTAATTTAATTTCGCTTCGGAGAGTGGCTTCTTCTGATAAAGTACAATTTTTAGTACTGCTTTTTTACAGACATATAGTGGTATGTGGTTACATAACATACGAATCAGTTAGCCATTTTTTGCAAGATTTCCTTCACGAGGATCGAGAAGATGTTGATGTTGAAGTAGTGTTCTTACATAGGTAAGTCACTACAGTAGTTGTTTTTCTTTCAAATCTGGAATACGTTTTATTTGGGCTGGTGCGCTGCCATTGTTACGGATGTTTCCAGAGTACCGCCGGACCTGGAATTAGAAGGGCTTTTCAAACGGCATTTCACCAAGGTCGAATTTTTCACCGGGACGGTTATGGATTCAATTGATCTTTCTCGTGTGAAGGTAAGTGTGTCTTCTTTTATTTCCTGACAACGCATCAAAACTACAGTCATTAAAATCAGTACGTGTAAACCAGAACATTGTTAGGTTGATGAAGCGGACGCATGTTTGGTACTTGCTAATAAATACAGCAGTGATCCGGATGCCGAGGATGCTGCTAACATCATGCGCGTTATTTCCATCAAAAACTACAGCTCGGACATACGCGTCATCGTGCAACTCATGCAATATCACAACAAGGCATGTGCTTTGGCTTTTGTTTTTTCACAGTAACTCTCGGTGCTTTTTTGATATTCCAAAACATGGACCGATTCAAAGCATGTTTTTAATGATAGAATTCAAAATGCAATATTAAATTGGTGTTAGACTGTTGTACTGAACGATTTTAGCATTTGTTATTGCTACCAAGAAAACACAGTTTTGTCTAGGCGCATGAAAGTTAGAATCTTCGGCAGCTGGGTGCGCCATAGTAAAGCATGCAAAATGACCAACGGAATACAAATAAATCGTTGAATTATAGCAAGACTGGTTTTTCGAGCCTGCCTGGAATACCTGGATAGGTACTAGTTTATAGTTTGATACCCCGTCTCTGCTGCTGCTGACTGTTTCTTCATTGCTTTGATCAGTGTTGTTTCGCCTGGTTGGCAGCCTGCTGGCGATCCTGATTTCATATTCTGAAGAGATCAGCGACCAATGGTCCTTTTGGCAAAGCATTTGACTAAGCTTCACCCGATTCAAGATGTCGTTGATTGTTTTCGGACTTTACCACTACTTTCAGTGAGATACCTCAAGGAGTAGGACGTTTTTACCTTAACGGTTAGGAGACAAAATTCACTGGAAAGCACGACATTAATAAATGAGTGGGGTACTAACAGCCACGTTTATTCAGGATTCCATGATTTTCTGCAAAAATACTTCTTTTTTTGTGAAGGGAAAGGCGGAGAAGGAAGGAGAGGGGAAAGGGACCAAAGGTAGTCTTAATGGAAAATAGCACAAGTGGAAAGCTGAAGAATGTGAATTTGATCAAATGCATAAAATTATTTTTTCAAAATTTGTCTACTAAAACTCCATTATGTTTTTCCCCTTTATGCTCTGCTTTCCTGAGTTGTGCCGCAGTAATAATGTTTTTCAAAGAATCTCAATCCGTGATATATTTCAGGCA